AGTGCTTCTCCAGCCTCTTCCAGTTAATTGACTAACTGGTTAACCATTCGCATTCAAACTGAATACAGTGAAAGAGTATAAGATGGAGTGACCTTTTAATAAATTACAAATGAGTTTTCCCACCACAAAAGAAACCAGTGGTGGTAATAGACCTTCTCTGCTGTGTAAGGCCAGTCTGCAAGAATCAAACAATGCCCGTAGTATCCTCTGTGCTGCCCACTGCTCTAGCAGATGCTGTTCATATTACACTCAGTACAAATCTGGATCTATCCCTCTCACTTGAGTCCACATCTTGAGAGCTTGTAAACTGTGGAAATACATATCCATGAAGCAAGGAATTCACAACAGAGCTTGTAAGCTGGATACATTGATTAGTGAGCAATTTTATTTATGGAGTCCATGTTCTCCCCTGTCTTTCTCTTGCATTAACACACAAACACGCCTCCCCTAGGAAATGAAAGGAAAAGAAACCAACCTTAAGGGTCCAGAATCACGTGCCACAAAGGAAATCCCTAAAGTGAAAGTTACTCTGGCAACTAACTCAGTGACACTGCAAATACGAAGTATTTTTCATTCCTCTTTCTCTTGTTACACATAAAGGTTTGTCCCTCACTCTTCCTTACTAACATATCCTTAAAAAGAGGCTGCACTGGTGCAAATGCATTAATGTTACTGGGGAAAAAAATTTCACTCCTGAACTGTGGGCATTTCCTGATATCTGAGGTTTTTTTACTTCTCAAGCCTTATGGTGCCATCTTCTTGCTTTCTCACTCCTTCTGCCAACTCCTTCATCTCTCTTATTGCTATAGAGCAAGCTCTGAAGTAGTGGCATTGAAAGTGCCCTGTGCCCTGGCTCTGTGGGGCACAGTCACTGAACGTTAAGTAGTGTCCTGACTTACACAGAGGTGCTGAGTAGAGCTGGACAAACAGCTGATTCTTTTATCGTATTGGATGTCAGTTCCAAAAACTCTGGGAGAAAAATCTGTTTGTCATGAACTGTAACTGATTGATTTTATCGTATTGGCTATCAGTTCCAAAAACTCCAGGAGAAAAATCTGTTTGTCATGAACTGTAACTGATTGTCTCATTTCATGGGGGGCTCTCTTTAAAATAAAAGTACAAGAAACAAAGGGGTAGAGTCACAAGACGGCTGGAGGGGATGGTGCCAACCATACATCTCTTAGCACACTCACCCACGACCACGTTCCCCCTCGACTTGATGTGAAGCAAAGATTTGAACTGACGTATCCTTCGTTGTGGGTAAGAATCCTACCCTCTCCTGTTGAAGCTGTTCCATTGTGTATCAAATAAAGTCATCATTTAGAAAATGATACAGTTAAATTAATGTACCCCCCTTTGACAGAGTGGTTATGCTATTATAAAACATATATATCTTATTCCTAAGAAACTTATAATAAAGTTGCTAAGCCAATAAACTACAAATATTTCCTTGTACTATGCTAGGACTTCTCCTAGAAGTGCCTTAACTATGGCTATGCTGACACCTTCTGTCTTAACTATAACTGTACACCACTGAAAATTTTCAAATTGGAGTGGACATCTTGTCCAGCTGCCAACTTTCCATTGCACACCCACCAACTGAACAACTTCTGCTTCTGCCAATGATTTATGCAGAATGATGATATAAACAAAGTGGCTTTCAGTCCCACAGGCTTGATTTCTTCAGAAGACTTCTTCCCTCTGAAATTACTTGATTTGTTATTGTGTAATTTCTTTCATTTCATACAAGCATCCAAGTGAAAGAAATTAATAAGAGCCATCTACACTGCTCTTTTTTGCACAAAAGCCTCTTACAGAAAAAATGGCTGCTCATTAATTATGCAAATGAAGCGCAGCGATATTCCATGCTGAGCTTCATTTCCGTAAGTTTTTCCACAAGAAGGCAACAGTGAAGATGTAGCCAAAGTGTCCAGCTGGTCTGGTTTTGCCCACCCATGTACATCTTTGAAATAAAAGCAAAATGACCAATCACTCTGGTGTTTCATGTGAGTAAAATCTCTGAACTTGCCACCAATAGAGAGGGGTAGACATTGCTTAAAAGCCTTTTTTATAACCCATGTTAACAATGTGTGTGTTTCTCATTATATACTTTAATTATTCTTCAGCAAGACTATGGGTTGGATTTTCCCTCATGATCTGCTTCCTAAACACACATGAGCAGCTTATCAGGGTCAGAAAACTAGTGGAAATGGCCCCAAGGCGGTTCCTGGGATGGCACAGAGCTGCCAAAGCTCTGTGCTATGACACCTCCTCCCTCTCCCCTCACACAGACCCACAGCATAAGGGCTATACCTAAGAAGGGAGGCTATGTGGCAGAAGTATCCTGTGCTCCGGTTCTTCCTGGGTGCTGAATGGTCCCCAGGAAACAATTACAGCTGAGCAGCTCTGAAGCTGTTTCGCCCTTCTCTGAAGAGTGAGCAGGACCAGAATATAGGAGGTGCCAAGATGGTGGTGCAGATAATCTGATTGTAGAGGGCAACACTGGCTTGAGCGATTCTGAGTTAGTTTGGTTTTAACCAGCAGCTCCCAACCTTTTTCAGATGGGGACCCATTTTAACAATTCAGGAAGACTTGGTGACCCAGGACAATTCAAAAAATGTGTGAATGGCTCCTTAAAAGCCACCTGGGGAGACACCTGGCGACCCTTTTGAAATGTAATGGCCACCGATATTTGGGTCCCGACCCATAGATTGGGAAACCCTGGTTTAAACGGAATGGAAGGGTAAACAAAAAAAAGATGTGCAGCAAGGGTCCTTGATTTCAAAAGGACAAACTTTAAAATAATGAAGTGAATTAGTTAGGAACATGGACTGGACTGAAAAACTAATGCAGAGGAGATTTAGAATTACTTTATGTCAAAGCTGCAGAAACTAGCTACGCTCCAAGTGAGGGAAAACATTTTTACAGAAACATTACAGAACAAACTGGATGACAGAGCATCTCAGATAATTCATTAAGGGAAACCAGAAACCTAAAAAATTGGAAGGGATGGATCAGAAAGAACAACTAGTTCTTGGAGGTCAAGAAGTATAGTGAGAAAGGTAAGAACTTCCAAAACCCGAGCAGAGTTGGACCTTGTAAAGGAAATTAAAACCAATATAAAAATTTTAAAAGACAAGGAGAGAAGAAGTGGGGCTACTGAATGTTGAGGCTGGGCTGGGGGTCAAAGATAATCTAGGCAGGCACAGCCCAACCTAAGTGAATACTTTGGCTCAGTTTTTTAATGAGGGTAATGAAGAGTTTGGAGGCAGACACAGGGTGGCTAACAGGAACAAGGATATGGAAGTAAAAATTACCACATCCCAGGCTGAAGCCAAATGCAAATGGCTTAATGGAACTAAACTGAGGATTCTGGATAGTCTCCATCCAAGAATATTAAAAGGACTGGCACATGAAATTGAAAGCCCAATAGCAAGCATTTTTAATGACTCCATAAACTCAGAGGTCACACCCTATAATTGGAGAATTGCAAATCTAGTATCTATAGCTAAAAGAGGGGGGAAAGCAATCTAGGAAACTACAAACCTGTTAGCTGTTTGAGAACAAATTTTGAAAGACAAAGCAATTAAAGACAGAAAGGTTAACAGTAACTGGAATAAAATACAACATGGTTTTACACCAGATGAATCGTGCTAGACCAACCTGATCTCTTTCTTTGAGAAGTTAAGTGATTTTCTAGACAAAGGAAATGCAGCATATTTAATCTGCCTAGATTTCAGTCAAGCATCCTATACAGTTTCACATGGGAAATTATCAGTGAAAATGTAGGAAGATGGAGATTAACATGAGACCTGTAAGGTGGATAAAAGAGACACTGCAGCGGGTCATGCTGAAAGATGAACTGTCAGGCTGGAGGAAGATTACTAATGAAGTTCCTTGAGGATCCATCCTTGGTCCAAAAAAATAGGAATGTGCTAATAGTATTTACAGATTAATGCAAAATTGGGTGACATTGCCAAAATGGAGGATGACTGGAATATCATACAGGAAGATGTGCATTACCTTTAACACTGGAGTAAAAGCAATGGAATGAATTTTAATAGTGCAAAGAACAAGGACAAGCATGTAGGAACTCACAACTAAAATTTTTGCTCTTAGTGCAGCTTAGATAAAAGGATGTGAGTTGGCTGCTATATAGGTAGGGGTTGGAGTTGGGATCCAGAGCAGAGGGTGGGCTTGGGTTTCCCCTCCCAGCCACTGAACTGCCGTGGCCCACCTGGAGAGCTGGGGCCAGAAAGGCCTTGAGAGGGTGAAGATGTTGCCTCCATGGAGAAAGCCCTGAGGCACTACTGGATACCAGAACATGGATAACTCGAGAGAGATGTTACAGAGGGCACTGAGGGAGGCTCCTTTTGGACCTGAGTTCTGGAAGAGGTTTGCTTAGCTCTCATCTCACAGATAGATTGTGTGTGACTTGGCCAAAGAGCTGGGTCAGTGAAGACCCACCACAAACTGAAAGAATGCAGGCACATGCACTTGGCTGGGGGGTGTTCACAAGAGGAGAGTGTACCCCCATTGCAGACACAGTTAAAATGATATATTTCATATCTGATAAGTCATGCACCAAGATCAGTACTGACTGAAGGCCAGTAAAGAAAAAAAAAGACTCTCTCAAATATGCTTTTCTTTCAGATTCTGAAGAAAGTCAACATTAATCAGGATAAGGTTCAGACAAAACTGGGACATGCAATGCCTGGTCCAAACAGCCAGTGCAACATGGTGATAATGCTTCAGTGTATTCCATGAGATTTTACTTTGCTATTCATTAGAGCAGTGTTTCTTAAACTTTTTAAGACTGAGGAACACCAACCAATATTTTTTTTTTTTAATGAGGAACAGCAAGGATTTTTGGTTGAGCAAAGAAAAAAGGGTGGTGGTGGTCGGGGGAATGTTATTGAGGGAAAAAAAAGGGGAAAAGTTATTGAGCATAAAAAAAAAAGTTGCCTGCCTCTTTAAGGGCAGTAATTTTGAATTCTGTTGTTCTCCATGGCACACCTCCGACTGCCTCGCAGAACACACTGCATTAGAGCTGTAAGCATATATATATCACAAAAATTCCAAATGCTTTATTTACCGTTACTAAAGTAAAGGTATCTTCTTAGGAGCACCTCTATAATGTGTTGGGTTTTTTTTTTTTTAGTGGTTACTGGAGATCTTAGTGAACGCTGATATTTGGGTAATGGCTGTAGCCTAGTGATGATGTGCGAAGATTTATGTTTGTAATTTAACCACAGATTAGAGAGCCGTCTGTATCCAGTTTGTTCACAAATGCTGCTGTTCAAAGATACTATACACCTATAAGAGTAAGTGTAAATGTTTTAAAATCTTATTTTCTATGTAAGACTACGATATTCTAATAAATAGTTGAAGAATTTTTATTTTACTTTATTTGTAACCTTTGAAGAGATCTGCACAAATCTTGACCTGCAAGGAGCCCTTTATGCTGTCTCCAGCAACAAAACAGTTTCCATCAGACAGCAGAGTACAGGATCTGTTTGACTTTTTTAGCACACAATGGGAGAATTATCTCACAACAAAATCTGCTCATGCTAATGCTCTGATTGCTGCTATTTCTAAAGCTCTAAAGATTGCTTTCTGAACAGCCCCCCCTCGGTGCCACTGTATGCTCTCAGGTTGTGGGACTGATGATGGCACACACTAAATTCTCCGAGGCAAAGATGAGGAAAGTCTATTTTGCTGTCCTGAAATTGGAACTCCTGTTGCAAAAATTCACCAAACATGACTAGAACTGCTTTGTAGGACTAGAGCCAGGAAATAAATTACTGTACCAGGCAATTCTTGAGTCATGGTTTCCAATTATGCTGGAAAAGGCATATAGGAGCTTTTTTCCCCCCCTGGTGATAAATCAGTATTGTTAGGCACAATGAACTCAATGAGCTATGCTCCAATGTCACTGCAAACCTGGAATAGCCATGGCTCACAATAAAACAGCATAAAGAATCTTCCGTTAACATACACTGTTATTTCTCCCTGCTACAATGCTGGGTAAGCCAGAGCTTATCAAGAGAAGTAAATGCTAGACATTCGATTTTTTTTATATAGCTATCTTCCAACTGGGGCTAGTCCTTACATGATCTTGGTTTAAATTTTAAAGTGCTGAATGCCCCTTCCACAGCTTTGGGTAAATAAATTGGATATCTTTCCAATCTTTTCCTGGAGCCAATTGTTCTTCTCTGGCTGTTTCTTTGAGATTGACTTGCTGCCTTTGCTGTTTGCAAGGCATCTTGGGAGTGCCTTTGAGGGGCACGAAGAATCCAGTTTGAATGTAAACTGTGTTCACGAGTGCTGGTAGCCACTGAAAAACAGAAGATGGTTCTAGTTAATAACAGCCTCCCAATGAATGTTAACGTTCAGCTAGTAATTGACAAAGGAGGCTGTTAGAGATGCCCTTTGTAGAAATCATGCTGAGTAACACAGTGAAGGTTCCATAATGGCTTCCACTCTAGAAATTTCTGAATTTCACATTCTGACTAAAATTATTGACTGAATTGTCAGTGAGGCAAAAAATCCATTATTTGAATAGTTGTGCCTATAGATGTGTTTTTGATTTGTAAAGCTAACAAAAACCAGCCAATCATTTGTGAATGAGGAAAGTGAATTGTATCTTTATATACAGCTCTATCCTCTATAGACACATAATTATCCAATTATGAAAGGACTAGTGTACTGATATTTTTAACATCCCTACAAGCAAGATTTCTAGTTGTAGAAATTGGACAATGGAATTTACTTCTGTACAGAAGGACAGAACAAGGCCCACATATTTTTTCTTTATATCTTTCCCCACCCTTTCCCTTAGTAATTTTATTTTAGAGACATTATATAGACTTCACCATCAAAGTCAACATCCACATTTGGAAGATCTGTCACAGGCACTTTCTGCCGTCGCTCTGCATCCAGCTCTGCAATCACCGAGTCAAAGAAAGCTATTGCCTCTCTTACATCTGAATTGGGCTGTGGGACTTTTCTCTCCAGTGGTATCTGTGGAAAAGATGCATAAGAAATAAGAACACTGAGAATAACACAGAACTACTTCTTAAAAGAACTCTGCAAAGTCAAAAAATACACAATGTGCGTCTGGATCTAAACAGTTCCAAAATGTGATGAGTTGATGTAGGTCCATGTCTAGTTCACAATTCATGCCAACCTAAGAAAATGGTCCAATATAACATGAAGTACTTATGTTGTTCTCTTTATCAGCAGATCTCAGAGCACTTGCACAGAAAATCAGTATCATTATCCCCAATGTATAGATGGGTAACTGAGGCTCAGGAAAGGAAAATATCTGCTCAAGACCCAACAAGCCAGTGGCGGAGCCATGTAGTCTAGACTAGACGTACCCTGTGTGAACATTTTTTTCTGTGTACTTCAATGTCTGCAGAGGCAAAACTCCCATTGACGGTCTTGGGCCTGCTACACAAGTAAAGACTGCCAGTGTTTTCACTCAGTTTGAAGGTCAGATTGTACAAATGAGAGCAATGTGCCCCCCCACTTCCCTGGCTCAGGTTTAGGGGCGGGTGAGGGAATGAGTAAAGCTTCTAGCTTATTTGCTCCCTAAACCCTTTGGGATGAATTGCATCACTAGGGGATGCTAAGAAGAAGCCTCCACTCCACACCTACTGACTGCAGTGACTGCTATTACATCTGGCCCATAATAGTTAAAAGACAGTTTAAAGAAAACTTCTTGCCAATATAATTGGAGACACAAATGATTTTTCCCTCAGGATGAGCCCAAGGGTCAAAGTTTGAGCCTGAATCCAGACCCGAAAGGTCAGATGCCTGTTGGTTCAGCCTGTTGTAGAGACAGCCATTTGGAAGCAAATCAAGGGCTTCTGAGTATGTGCTGAGTGCATTTCTAATACTTCACCACATAGAGAAAGATAAATGAATTTTCATGGATGGTTATGTCAGTGCAAATAGAGAGTGACGTACAAAACAATACCTCCATTTTTAGAAAGAAACTTGTGATCCATTAGGAAAGTGCCATTTAGAAAGCAGCCAAATCACGGTAGTATTCTGGATTTCTTCCTGAGTCCTTCACAGTCCCTTTCTTCAAAGCCAGAGTTACAGTGCAGTGACCAATTCTTTTCTGTGGGTGAAACTGAAGCACTGTGCAGCACATCCTGCTGATATCATGCATTATCCATTTATGAGTAGGAGGCTTGATAGAGTTAATGCTCCAGCAGTAATCAAGGCTGGTCGCACATAAGAGTGAGTCAGCTATAATCAGATGACACAGTGCTCCAGACCTTGGAAAATTAAAGAGGTATTTGTTTGTAAAACCAGAGTTCCCTTTCTTTTTAAGAAGAATTTTCAATTGCACCTAGCAGTATAGCGATATTCAGGAAATGTAAGGAGTCTATGTTGAGCCTGTCTGTAAGGTCTGTTCCATAATACCTGCTGTACTCAGTGTTCTGCATCCTTTGCCACTGTTTTCTTTCCACTTTGTTAACTCTGCCAAATTCTGCTCTCAGTTACACAAGGGTGGATCCAGGATAACACCACCGATGGCAATGGAGGTAGTGACCCCAGTTACTGTCAATCTTCCTTCAGTCAAAAGGGAAACAACCACAACTAACGTTAGGCAGGGTGCACCGTTAATTCCTAGCCTATGTACTTACACAAAAAGCTTCTTACACTGGCACCCATGAGCACAGTGCAAGCCACATGTCTAGATTGCAGTTTATCTGTTTTGGATCTTTTCCCTCCTCTTGATTCTTCACCTCTTTACAGATGTCTCTGTCTTCCTTTGCCAGTGCCTCTGAATTCTTCTTCCCCCCCGGTTATTTACTGAGCATTGGTGTACAAAATACGATACAGGTGTAGGTCCTAATTCGAAGCCCAATGAAGTCGTGAAAAATGCCATTGACCTGGGTGGGCATTGGATTAGGCCCACAGAGCATTAAAAATATGGGCTCTTGTTCCAGAAATGTTTTGGGTTTTATTCAGTCCCCCGTGACATAATCTGCTCCCATGCATTAGCAGAAGCTACTATATCCAAAGGTAAATTTGTTCTTGTAGGAGAGCAGACAGTGCTTGCAGCAGTGTTCTCCATCAAGGCCTCTGCTGTGGGAGGTTGTCTTCCACATCTGGTTGGAGCCTGCTGGGGATGGGTCTTTTCGAAGATGCAATAAGTTAGTCCTGTGTCCCTATCCCACCCATCTTCCCAGCCAGCTGTAGCTATCCTGACAAAGAAGGGATTGTGGCCACTTTGCATGAGCACAATACCCCGGCAGGCAGCCTTTCCACTTCTGGGAGCTCTGTGTCATAGCTAGAAAGAAGCCCAGTTGAATCAGCCTCATTGACAAGTAGATGCAGACCAAACCATTCCCACACTCACAATTTACAAATCAGCCACTGAAATGAAAGTTTTGCAGTGATGGGATTCTTTACTGTGTCTGGTGTTGGGAGATGGTCTGTAGAAAAAGCGCTGCTGCAAAGTTCTGAATGGAATGACAGCAAAGGGAGAAATGTTGTTTTCTGTTTCTAGAGCAGCTGCCAGCCTAGTAGTTAACAGCAGATTTCTAGTGAATGGAGCATTGCAAACCAATGCTCGCCATGTCCCTATGGCTGGCATTGGGACTTTTAGTGAGGAGCACAGTCCTGGTGATGGCATTCCATCAGGCTACTCAGTGAAACTCATGGCTGTTCATTAAATGAATGTACCCTGAGTCAGTCATTCCGCAGAAGTTCACACAGGGCCTGTTACAAAGCCGATACAAAGCCTCCTTGTCAGCAAAGGATTATAGAGCCCTCCGATCAGTAACAGCTATAAACAACCATGGTAGAGAACCATGAAGTGCCATGTGATGTGATAACCTTAAATAAAATTGTCTTTTTTAGGGATGTATTTTCCATACTTCATACACACCCAGCTCTTTCTCATGCTCACACACATTTTCCCAGGCACATTCAGAAAATCTTGACTCACACACACTCCACAGCACTCTCAAAGTGAGTTTATAGGCCCTATATATTCTCACCTCCCCCGTTACAGGATTCTCTACCTATTGAGGTACTAGCATGCCCTTCTCACTGTACTGTCTGAGTAACTGAAATATTTATGGTTTATTGTCCTCACAACACTCCTATGCAGAAAGGAAGTATTATTATCATCCCCATTTTACACCTGGGGACTGGAGGTACAATGAAGTCACTTGCCCAAGATCACAGAGAAGTTCTATGACAGAGCTGGAAAGAAATAAAATTGCATCTAAGACCATTTTAATCTATTAAAGCATTCCCAACTGTCCTCCAAAGAAAGGGGGGGGAGGGTATTGTACAACCCAATCTAACCAGAGCCCGCCTTTTTTCTTGTTCTCGGTGTATGGCTATAGTTGGTGTCCCCTTAATAATAAAACAAATAATAACTTCAAACTAACAAAATCCCCACATGACTAACTGTGATCTGATAAGCCACCAAGTTTCTAGAGACAGCAGCAGTCAGCTGCTTCTGTTCACAATATTCTGTCATCATATCAATCTAGACCCTGAAGAATCACATATAATTATCACTTTATGGTTGATACCTGTTACATCTTCATTCTTATCTTTGCATCCAGACTGCAA